GGTTTTAAAAATGGCGGCGCCCCGCTTATGCAAATGAAGCCCGGGAAATTCAAATCCCGGGCTTCATTTGCATAAGCGGGGCGCCGCCATTTTTAAAACCCCGCTGGGTCGAACCCCGTGCAGCGCAGCTACACGGGGTTTTAAAAATGGCGGCGCCCCGCTTATGCAAATGAAGCCCGGGAAATTCAAATCCCGGGCTTCATTTGCATAAGCGGGGCGCCGCCATTTTTAAAACCCCGCTGGGTCGAACCCCGTGCAGCGCAGCTACACGGGGTTTTAAAAATGGCGGCGCCCCGCTTATGCAAATGAAGCCCGGGAAATTCAAATCCCGGGCTTCATTTGCATAAGCGGGGCGCCGCCATTTTTAAAACCCCGCTGGGTCGAACCCCGTGCAGCGCGGCTACACGGGGCTCGAACTAGGTAGTTCGAACTAGGAGGGTAGTGTAGACATACCCTGAGAGACAACAGACAGCAAAAATAGGAAAGAGAGTGTGAGGGTATGTCTACACTACCCTCCTAGTTCGAACTAGGGATGCAGTGTAGACATGCCCTAAGGCTGTGTCTACACTACCAGGTTATTTATACATAAATTGTTTTGAAATAATAACTCCTGAAATAACTATTTTGAAATAAGATTATTCCTCTTCACAAGCAGAAGTTATTATTTCAAAATAACAAGCCCCGTATTTCAAAACAACAGGCTTGATAATGTGGATGTCCGCCTTATTATTTCGACATGCCTTGAGATCCGCAGGCCTACTTGTTGTTTTTAAAATTACAGACTACCCTTCTGAGACTTCTGAACTCCCCTGTTTTATTTTAAAGCTCCTTGAGAACTTTATTTTTAAACAGCTGGATCCTTCTGCCACATCTGGGCATGAAATCTGAGGAAATACTCAGATTCTTTTGGAGCTGGAGACAAACAGTAAACCAATAGCTAGACTTTTAAAAAGGCCTAGGCTGTCAGTTTTCTGTCCAAAAGGGAATTTTCCAGACACTGCCTGTATGCCATTCTACCTATTCCCCTATGCCAGAGCATTAAAGAGAGGCTTGAGGCATGGCTAATGGCAGGAATAAGTATAGATAGAATGAATCAATCATGCTGGTATAATTTAGAGCAACTATTAGACATCTCTAAGTTGTTTTAGGCTCTTGTTCAGCACTTGGTTGGTTCCTACTTGGATCAGAGGAGCTGTAAGGTGACACAGAGCATAGTTGGGCTGGATTATATTGCAAATCAGGCTTCTGCATCCTGGGTCAGACCCAGGACTCTCTGTGGAGCTCTGGTCCCAAATTCAAAATCTTGCTTTGCATCATAACATGAATTATAGTGTCTTCATTTGTTGTTACCTTTGTTCACCTGAGTTTGGCTTTGGGTTTGTCTCATGTAAGGAACTTGTTTGTACTTCCAGTGAAATCAGTGTCAATTTTGAAATTGACTAATATGGGAGCTGGATGGGTACTAGACTTAAAGTATTTCTATAAACTACCATGTATGATTATGAGACTGATGCAAAATTCAACAT